AAAGTGACTAATTCCACATACCTCTTAGTATCATTATGGTCTGACACAGTAACATATAAATTGTGTTCAATATTAAACAAAATTTATTTATTTATTTAATTCGAAATATGTTAATATTCTAACTGGCGCAACAAACAAAATGTAACTTGTAATTTAATTGCAAAGCTGCAGTGGGATTTCCTATCGGAAAATACAATGCAGCGTACGACAACGACCACATTTTTCCTCGTGCTTCCAACCAATTACCTACACACTATCAGACTGTTGTAGAACTTCATAAATATTGTATACAGTAAAAATAAATTAAATATCACTTTACTTAATGAGTTGTAATTATTACGCTAGAACGTTTTCTTTATGTGGAGTGTTATACATCGCACTAAAGTTCTATCGTAGCTGCACGAGGTTAGAAATGTCATTCTAAACTTTGAAACGCTGTACTGAGACATAGTGCAGTGTTAATACCTTGAGATTGGTGTAACATTGCGATACCTTTTTGCGGTATTACCACTAAGCTTATAACGACGCTAACGTTCATAACCTCACATCTGCTATAGTGATATGCACCCGTGAAAGTAGTAGTTTCACTCTGAACGCGGAATTTGGTTGACTTTAAACAGAAGATCCCATCTGTGCAGACGCACAGCCGTTCTAATACGCGGTATAAAAACATCGGCTGAATTTCAGCTTACCATCACTTTTCTATCTGTCTTGTGTTTTGTCTCATTCTTGTATTTATAGTGTTTCTTAGTTTATATACAATTTAGTGTATGAGTCGGTTTGCTGGTAATTCACCTCGTACCAAATATAATGCAGATTGCACCAACAGTGAGAATATTTTTAATAAAGAGTAATGTTTCTAGGACAGCATTGAGCATGACGTCAATCCGTTAATGTCGAGTCAGTGCTCCGCTCAGACAGACAGTGGTTCATTCGGTTCTTAGTGATTACTCCGCCCACTTGGTGAACTCCGGAACACAGATTTTGATGCTGGCTGTTTTATACAAGAATATTCTTGGCTTTGCTCAATTCATCTAGACTCCTCTAGTTCGCTGACGAATCGGGATGAGTCGAGGCAAAGGGAGAAGTTCAGCAAAGCAGCTTAGAGCAAGGTCGGTTTTACTAAATTTTCTTCTCTGGTTGCTCTCAAAACAATCATAGCAACGGCTTAGACCTTAAATGCGATCTATACATTATGTCTCTGACGTCAAACCTAGATATAACTAATTGGTAGAGAAAATCAGTGGCAGGCGTGGCATTAAGACTAAAACACGTGCCCAATGACGTAAATATCTTAATTCCTTTTGACTGCTTCTTTTGTTCTCATTAACAATGTTAAATACAATTTTATCATTGTAGACCAAACGTGTTTATGTTATTCCTATCATAATTCTCCAATTTAAGGTTGCATTTTTCTGTATTTCCTTTTCCTTGACTAGGCCATGATTGTTCCTCTTCTTCTTCATAAATCTGTATTGAAAATTACATCATTTATCATCTCTCTGTGAGACTTGTATAACCTATAAATATATGAACTAAAACATTTAAAATGAGCGCTTGAAAGTCAGTTTAGTTTAATTTGACTTGCAGTTTGTACACTGAACACATATAAATCTCTATCAAGTCCTTGTGTTTTGTTCTGCTATTTGTACCGTAATTGAAGAAAATATTTATAATTTAAAACAGTATGAGCCTGCTGTGCTATTAAGTTTTATTTTCTGTGGCTCGCCGTTTGAGAAAACAGGGTAGTTTGTAAAAATATCTGACTATCAATAATTCGATTCCACAGTAATTTATTTTTGAAATAGAAAAAATCAATAGGTTTTTCCGGGATGTCGCACTTCATTTTCTGTCTATTGTACATATCATTTATTAACGACGCGCCTTTGCGTATATTTATGGACACCCCTTTGTCCCTAATTTTCTAAATAGAAAAAGTAATTTTTTCGGAGTTGTCGCTCAAAAAGGAAGAGTTTTGCAGTTAGAACTCTTTCTTCTATGTACAGTTTCTTACAGTTTTAGTGCATAACTGTGCCAAGTTTCCGAAACAGAAAATATCAATAGTTTTCCCGTAGCTGTCTCTCCAAGAAGATATTTTTAATTAACATTTTTTCTGTGACGCGTCGCTTGTAAAACGCTGGCGGACGGAATTCAGCTGAAATAGATGAATAATGGACTGCCTTATATAAAACATCTGTTTATGTCGGATCACTGTTGGATCGCGAATTACTTGTTGTCTACCTTTGGTGTTGCGAAGAGTTATCGACTGCATTTTGAATTCATACGGCAGGCGGTGGGATTGTTCCATTTCCTTGAGATAAACTGAGAAAAAAAGGAAACATGAGAAGGAATTTCCCTGTTGAACGCATTTCCTCTGTCGTGCCTTCGAGTCTGTCTCTTTCTGTCCCAGTTGAAGAACAAACTTTTAGTATCACAATCCCTCAAGGCACTCTTTTCGAACTAGAAGTAGTCTTTAGAGATCATCTACAATAATCAAAGAAGTACAAAGTCCAACAGAGTACATACGTCTCACGCCAAAACACAATGTACCAACCACCACACCATTACTATTAATTAATTCCTGGTTTCTGGATTTCTCTTATAAACTATGTAACCCATGAGAGTGAGGGTGATGTCAGGAGGAAAAAATTTCTTGCGTGAGTAAATGTAGGGACGCAAATGGTAGGAGGAAAAGAGGAGGATGTAGAAAGGAGAAGCGGGGTAGAATAAATCCATTAGGATTGTAGGGAGCTAATGAAATGCAGCGATGGGATGGGATGGAGTGAGGAATGGATAAAACCATGCGATGCCCACGGGGGCTGTAACATAGGGGTTGTAACTAGGCTAGGGGCAGTCGTATGAACACATATAGCCTATTACAACTCTGGTGTTTTCTCTCTTGTTAGATGTACTGTAGGGTTGCGCATTGCATGCTTTTCATCTGGTTGTTAAATTAACAGCTGTTAGAACATAGCAGCAGAAGTTAAAATATTAAATTTACAAATATTCTTCACGTCATAGGAATCTCAATCAAAGCAGGAACAACAGTTGATGCCACTAGAGTAAAAATGACAAAGTTGTTTCTTGTGTCCACCAATTACAGAACTGAAGACACATACACAAACGCCTATACAACACTGACCAATATTTTGGAGTACCTAGAGGAAGGTTCTTTGTTTTAAAATGGCGACAGAATATAGAAGTACTGACATGCACAGACTAAAAATGTAGTACAGATCACTTACTTTCCAAATGAGAAAAGAGAGAGAGAGGGACACACTTACCTCTTCAGTGGTCTACAAGAAGTAACTAGCTTTTAATGAATTTCTATTTACATGCTTCATTAGTATGACAGGATATGTAAATAAAATGCCTTCTAGCTTCAGAGTCAGATAATAATACGGGGAGAATAACAAGTCAGCGAAAGTATCACGTGCTTTTTTAGTTTTATGACGATTAGATCGATAACTTTCTTTCGTGTGACGGAAAATATTTCTTACCCAAAAGCGGTCCTTTCCATTTGCAATCCGATAGCAGGATGTCGTAAAGTTCTTTCCTTGAATTCCCGCGAGATCTACAGCAGCAAGGGGAAACTGACCTCTTACTCCTACAACTTCTGTGGAATTGTATAGAATAGGCCTGTGAAGTATTTGCATTTTTATGGGAGTCCCGAGGTTTTCCGTAATTTATATTTGTATAGACTTGCCTTGTGTTGACTGTTCCAGCTGGGTGAAATCTTTAAGTCTCATTCTTGTCTTTACATAATTTTCATACTACTACTACAACAAAGTCCATATTAGTCTTGGCCTTATGGAGAATTTCCCGTGGATTTTTCGACATGTTTTGTCGTTTAGTTGGGCTACAGTGGAAGGGGTCGAAGAAAAGTGGACTCGCATCCATGACTTGTCTGGGATATGAACCTACGATCCCGTTGTTCGAGATGCAAATTGCAATAATGGCAGGTGAAGAGACTCTCACACATAGGAACAAACAAACAACCGAACTTATTGAGAGTCTGATTTTTGTCTTCATCAATATCATCATCATCATCATTACTAATACCGCTCGTGCGACTGAGGCAGCGGAAGGTCTTAGACCTTTGTTTTAATCGTTTCTTTGTCATTTCCGTTACAGCTATGAAACTTCTTTAGTTCACCTAAATTTCGAAACCGTATGCACTAAGAGGGGCCACTTAGGTGCATTTTAAGTGGTTAATATTTATGGGTATAAATATTGTCCTTCCTTTAAATTGTTGGTATTCGGCTTCCTACTCCAGTTTTTATAATTTTCCTTTCTTTACTGCTGGTTCCTCGTTCTTCCTGCAGATGTGCATCAGTCGCTAATGCCGTTTGCAAAGATATTATATTTTGTAAAAAAAAATTGTTACACTTAATCACATTTTAAAGGAATTATTTCATCTTGTTAGTAACTCTTTGTATGTCGGTTTTCTTTAATTTAGCATAATTTTGTGACGTTTATTGTTTTATTAATTGTATTCATAAGGTTTATTTTTGTCTTTTTGTGCTGTATCTGTAATTTGCCACTTCGATGTATCAGTACACTAAAATCAAGATTTGATTAGAATTTTGTTGAATCAAATTTAATTATTTTCATATCTCAGTTTTGCATGTAGAGCTTAGATGTTCATTCCTGCATCTTATTCCGGGTCTCCTCATGTGCACGTTACTTTCTCATCTGGTGCTTTATAACTGATGCATCTGACAATGTGCAGTTTAAAAACTAAGATTCGGCTTTCGGGGGTGAACCGCGGAAACCTAAGGACGAAATTAGATTAGGTAGGTACCCGTTTCTCTTCTAGGAGGCATTACCTCTGTCTTTAATTCATTATTTTTTTCCGACTATACCATAAGTCAAACCGATTAATTTGTGTGGGCGTATCTTATTATGCTGCGTAATTGACTTAATATTCTCTTCTGCCCGCTGAAGCGACTGTACATTTAAGCACGCATTTACCACCACTTGAGCCGCCCGATCACAAGACAACAGTTTCTCTCCCACCTTCCCTCTCCGTTCAGGTAAATATTTCGTTGTACATTGGCTACACAGGATGCAGCCATTTTGAGTGTTGCTCAATGAAGCGATAGTTAGCGTGTGTGTGGTTTGTAAAAGTAGCATCTCTTTGACGACAAATCTGGGTCTGGAATATTGCGTAGTTCGTGTTTAAATCGCGTAGACTATAGGGTACTTTGATTTGTGGCAAGTAACGAGTGGTTTATTTAATTTCCAATAAAATAATTAGTTTACAGTGTGCTTTGTAATAAGTAATACAAGGTGCCGTGTTTGGACTTGGAGAGCTGAACCAGCGTGGGATCCAAGGTCAGTACGCAATTCGCTTGCAGTAGTTTGAGTTAGCATAAAACAGTGTTGTTAATCCCTGCGGTAGCGTTATGCAGTTCATGGTTTTATAGGTTACTTTCGAAACTTTAACTGACATTTTCGTTAACAATATTGTATTGGATTTTGTTATAATAAAACTGCAGATAAGTTTATCCTCCATAGTAAGTCTTCAGTGGAATGACTTGTAGCACGACAATTTCTAGTTATTTTTGTTAAAGCTTATAATGTTATACAAAATTCAGTGAAAGATTAGGGGATGTTCTTCAAACTTGGTTGTTAATCGACATTGGCCTGTTTTTGTTGTTTCTGTTAGTGTTTCATTTTTCCAGTAATGGGTTCAAGATCCCCCGGTTAATGGACGGTGTTGTGTGCAAAAAAAGTGACAGAAATTGATTCTGAACTGGAAAAGGACAACAGGAAATAAACTTTAAATAATTTCGTTCTAATTGTAACGCAGAGTATTCTTCGAATTCTCCGTGTTAAAACATTGTAACAATTTAAAGTTTGTGTTAAATGAATTCTGGTGGTAACATTTCAACTCCCATGCTAATAGTAAACCATGTATCAACATTCATGCTAGCAGTAACCTAGTCTGAGGGATGAACAAGTTGTGTGCTTAACTTTGTTGTATAATTGTACACGAAAATGCTGCCACATTTGGCTCTATGGTCAGAAAAGATAATTAGCCAATCTCATCTACGTTATTGATTTAATTATCTACACATATTGAAGTTAAATTACATATTAATTTATTATATTGTGTTGACATTTTCATTTGATTGTAGTCTTTCTAACTCGTTTGAGGTTTATGTGACTCTTAAATGTTCTCTATTATCATTTTGGTCTAATATTAGACTGATTTTAATGGAAAATAAAGTATCTAACATGCACCAAATACAGTAGAATAAGAATTGCATTCAAATGGATTTACTGAAAGGCTAAATAATACCGTTTATATTTAGAGCGTCAAGTCTGGATGCGCAACACAGGTAATTTTTAAGCTTTTATCTTTTGCAATCATAGGATGAACGAAAATAGTTGTAATTTATAACTTGTGACCCTATCTGTAATAGTGCAGTTACCACACCATATTTATGTATTTGTTTATAAGTTATTTAACGGCGCTTTCAGTTTCCTGATTATATCGCGGCAGCATATTGTTAAGATAAATAAATTTTTAAAATTATTAATATACAAAAAGTGTGCTATTAATTAAAACAAAAGTATTAAAAATTTCATTCAACAATTATTATAAATTTAAACTTATATGCAAAATTACATTATTGTATTAATAGCAATATAGGACTTGACCTAGGCGTATGATTATCCATGGCATATCAGATTAGTGCTAATCATATTTGTTAGTTTTGGTTTATTGTTTTGATGAACTCTGTTCTTTCCTTTCTAGATGAACGCCAGTAGTCTTGGCCTTATGAATAAAAAGATCTGTGGAATTTATTACGTGTATGTAAATCCTAAAACAAGCGTAATTTGTTTTCGTTTTTTGTTTATTCATTTTGTAAACGAATTGATGAAATCGTGAAGAAGAAATCTAAAGTAATTATAATATGCGTTTTATTTATATTATCTGTTATCAGCTTTTGTTTTGTACCACTCGCGGGGTTAGTGTTATTAAACCATCGTTACAACTGTTCTAAAAACCAGGGTCCAGGGTCTAGTTTCCAAACTGAACTTGTCGACTGTTACCCGCAAAACAGAATGGCGAAATATATTATTAAATAATTAATGGTTTTCTTACCGAACAACACATTAATGTTCTAGTCCATTATTTGTAAAGTTTTATGATACGTCATGCTGTGCCAGTTTTCGGCGTCTCCGGTTAATTGGGTCATGGTTCCTTTGGCTCTTATTCTAAAATGTACTCTACATCTAATATTTTGTTTTTGGAAATTTTATTTAATGGGTTTCTCCTCTGGATCAATCGCGTATTAATTATTAAGAATGAAATTATAATTTTACATGTAAATTGCAATTTACCTTCACAGGCGTCGATTATTAATATGCTATAGCTGTCAGTCTGTGGTCATCACTGTTGTACCATACAGAATGTTTAACAGAATATTCATGGATTGTCTGGAATGGCTTCCGACGTACTTTTACGAAGACGGCACTTCAGTTAAACAGCTGATAATACCAATTGTTCATGATCTCGCGTCTGCAGCTTGCGGTCTACTGTGATAGATAAAATGTCGTGATTTAATGGATTGTTGAATGACATCGGTCTGTGCTAGATTATAATTGTTGCGCCGACGGAAATATTCTCACCAATTGTTGTTCATATGGAGTTTAAGTAATCTTTCACCAGTAGAGAACCACGTAGACACCCGTTTAAGTTATCAAAAACATGCCTTCTCTCTTCATTTCCTTACTCCTTATTTATCATTTTTCCCTTCCTCACACACATTTCTTTATAGCAGTAGTATTCAACCTGGGGTACACGTACCCCCGGGGGTACACGAAGACATCTTAGGGGATACGTGAAATTTAAAAAAAATATATTATTTTATGATAAACACTGAAAAATCAGTAATGTAATTTATTTAATTTGTTTTAGATGTAGATTATATACTCTGTATAACTTTAATTATACACCAACAACTTTGGGGGTACAAAGTTGAAGAGAAATTATATCTGGGGGTACGCGAACAAAAAAGATTGAATACCACTGCTTTATAAGACCCTCTTACCATGGCCCTGCCGTGCACATATGCAAGATAAATCTTTGTTGTCACCTTTCTTACAAATTAATTTCTTAAGTTGGCTATCCTTGTGGCGATCCATGAGTTATCACAACCGAATCAATATGTATCTACTTATATATTCAAACATATGACCGGATGTCGTGTAGTCGTTCTTAAAACAAAGTTAGGTGCATAATTTTGAAAGATTCATTGTCACACAGAACGTTATTGCCTGCTCTTGTAGATTGCCAATGCTACCTTGGTGGTAATTATCGCAAGCGGAAATTAAAAGTTAGTAAGATGGAATAGTCCGGAAGGCGTGCCATGTTTCATTAGACTCAGTCAATTAGTGTAACTGAATCAGGGAAAGGGCGGAGTGGGTTACGGATACAAACATGCACAGCAATATATTGTTCTTTCGCAAGTTAATAAAGATTTGATTTCTGTTTCCTGTTAAAGGCCAAACTGAATTAAAGCGTGATTTATCACTCGTTGGAAAAGAAAATATTGTAGTCTTATCTGTGCTCTTAGTGAATCGCACATAAATGTAAATATTTCATACGCTCGTATTTATGATCCCTTAGCCCGTGTTCTAGTCGAAACCTGTTCATATAATCTTCGCGTAGTATCCAAGATCGCTCTGTTGTTATATAGTCCTTTGTCCCTAGAGCATTTTGCACTTTGCTTTTGTCTGTCCTTTTCTGTACTAGTTTGAATATTTATGAATGTGTTTCTGCAGAAGGCTACGTAACATATTAGAATAGGAATAATTAATATCACGATTTTGCGAGGGTGTTCCATGCAAGTACAAGATATTGCACTGGATTTTAGCTTAGAGGGCAAAACATGGTTTGCAGAGAGAGGATGTTACAAAACACAACGTTAATGAAAATGAAGTGCTAAATAGAAGTTTAGTGATGAGGGGGTGGGCAGAGAATGCTAGAACACATGGGAACACAGCGAACACTGAGTAAACTACAAGTAGGTCTGTGTGTTTAGGGGTATCGCGGCAGGCTAACATTGTGGCATGCATATTGTGACTTATCATCGGAATGTGTTTCTGTTAAATGTCTAACAACTAAAATACTGGCACCTTAATCGGAAAATTTTGAAAAATGTGAACAAACTCAGGCATGTGGGGTGTCACGATGTTCTGCCGTACCGCTGAGCCGACGTTACCAAGAATTTCAAGTTTGTTGCGACTCTGTTTATTTCGTGACGAAATAGTAAAATGTTTACATTATCAGTTTGGGCAATTCTGCAAGAAGTGTTACAAAAATACTGGCATTATTAACAGTTTCCCTGTTAATCACAATTTCACGTCATTATTTTCGTCGCCGTAAAATTAGACACAGTTAACAGCTTTCATTACCCAGTATATGAAATTTATATTAAACCGTAAACATGTTTGGACATAATAACATATCACCATATGATAATCATGTACTGCAAAATAAATTTTCAGGTAATTAGGGGTGGTTAGTGATATGCGAAGTGCGAACGTTCCGTGTCATAAGAAGTGCGAATCATTAAACAATCATAGATTTTCAAAACTTGTCTTCACCCAAGTATATTATTTGTGAAAGGCCGACAGAAACACGTTCATTCCGCTATGCAGCAGAGAAGTTTCATGAATATAATGCTTATTTATCGACATGAAAATGACTGTCATATTGATAGTTGCACCTTAAAATTGACAGACGTTTCAAATATGTCTATTGCCTCCATCATCAGGGTGTCCTAATGGTGGAAGAAATAAGAATATCTGAAGCTTCTGTCAATTTCTACGAGACTAAATTGTTCAAAAATCCAGAAGACAGTGATGTTCATATTCAGCGAAGCGAGAATCTTACATCTGACTTCGTGATTAGCATTTTAATTCGGTCTTTGCAGGAATCTTCCGTCGATTTAGATAAATGGAGACGACTTGAAAGATTGAGTTTTGGCATTTTCAAATGTCATCTGTTTCGGCAAACCGCTGAGAATGTGGCAGTCCACGTGGCGTGGCAGCTCAGAGGGCTTCTCGTCGCAGAGTCTTGGATTTAATCGCCAAGTTGTTCGTACGCGATTTGTGATGATCATAGTGGCTCTGGTATCGACTTTTACTCTGATTCCTGTCAATAACAGTTTCACAAATGCACCGTACTGCCCCTCACATGTGTAACTGGAAAGGCCTGAGCTCTTGATTGGGGCGCGAGCTTTGTCCCAGAACTTGACTGCCTTCAGCACCAAGTTAACATAAAACAGGCACGAATGCCAGTTTTTTCATCAGTGCTT